GGATACCCTTGACGACTCCAAGATCTCCGCCACCCGATTGCCGACAAACTTTTTGTATCGCCGGTGAGTGCTCCCGATCCATCGTAGCACCGTCTTGGAGTCCGTCCTCCTTGACAGTGTTTATCAGCCTCTTCCCAAAAACAGCTGCCTGCAGCTCCAACCTGGGGATTGACATAGCTCTCATCGGGGCGCACTTCGTCTTAGCACAAACGAAGCTTACCAGCACGTTGTTATCCTCGTAGGTGACCTTCCAATAGGCCACCGCCGCGAATGCAGATTGACTGGCATCCACGAAACCGTGCAATTCTGTATTTAGTGCAGGTCCACGCCCAAAATAATGGCGGGGACATCGGAACTGTTTTACGCCGTCCATCTCCTTGTGCTAGTTCCCAAAGGCTCTGTTTATTTCAACTTTAAGTGGTTCATTCCACTGGTTCGCTGTTATCATAAGGCTGCAAGGAAAGCTTAATTACTCCCTCTTGGTAGGGACTTGATCGCCGTTCAGTACGCTGCTTGGAACTCGATAATACTTCACATTGAATCTGAAGTCATCCGTGGCTGCCTGCCAACACATTCCCACAATTTTCTGTTCCGACTCACCCCATCCGAAACGAACTATTTGTTCTGATGGGCCCAATGCAGATTCCACAACTGGTGAGCTGGCTGAAAACTGGCATTACTCGAATCCAGCGTTTGCATGTATCTCCTTCACTCGGGTAGATACGCTGATGGCCTCGCTCTCCGTACAAACTGCCCACGTAGTCATCGACTTAATGACAGTCGATGATGGCCTTGACTGCTCTCGGATCCGTATCCGAAGATCATTACGTTCATCTCTTAAAAATCAGGTTTCCTGGTGTCGTTGCCATCTCTCCACAGGAAGCGTTGGGGACACCTGCCCTCTGGTCGAATAAGAACTTGATGGAACATCTGTTTAATGTCGCCACAAACTCCGACGGATCCTTCTCTAAAATAAAATAGCACAGCTGGCAAGGGCTTGTAATGTTGCGGCTCTTTGTCCAGCGCCGAATTTAGTGATGTTCCTCCAACCTTCGCTTCAGCGTCAAAAACCTGCAGAATCTTACCCGGCTTATTAGGGTTTTCGACTCCAAAGTGGGGTAGATACCATAGCCGATCGCATTCCAATGCGACTTCGTTAGGCTTTAACCGTCCAGCGTATCCTTTATATACGTACTCGTGGATGATACTTGTGTATTCCTGCGCTGACTGCTGGTTTCCCTCGTTGTAGCTTCCGTGGCTTCGTTGCGGCGTCATCTGCGTCATATAGCTGGCGGTGATGCCTCTTTCGGCAGTCGTTGAATTAACACTCACCATGCGAGTTGCAGGATCTAGTCATGTGACCACTTCGTAGGTATGTAAATCATAGTCGATGCCTTCGCACATACCTCCACCTGTCCGGCGGTGAAGCTCCGTTGAATTCCCTGCAGTCCCAGACTGCCTGTTGTCCTCCACAAATTGGAGAACCTCTGTGGCGACTCTCTTGTAAGTCACCTTGCTCCTGATTGATGCTTGCATGCAGCCATCGACGCCTAGGTTCTCTCCCTTCGACGTCCACAATAGTGCCGTCAATCACGTACTAAAATCCAAAATGGTTGGGAATGATTTTATCGTAGCAGCATGCCTTGACCACTCCAATCGTTTACTGGTAGGGCCACAAGCTCTTCCATTAGGGTTGGATTCCCCAAAAGCTGATCTGCCTTCGCTGACTGCAAGAAAGCTGTGAGGTTACTCACACGGTTTGTGAAGGGAAATATCTTCGCCAAGCTGTGCTCTGAAATGGGCGGCACTTCTCGTATACTGTTTAGCTGGCGGCGTATAAGTCCGGTCGGCCATACCCAAAGCGCAGCTGCTCCACCACGCTGACGTTATTTGGGTGAATCAGAAGCGACTTGACGGTCTCAAGGGCTTCATCCTTCAGCACCTTCAGCTGGCGTTGGTTCTTCTCCATACTCTTACAGTTGTACGCCTGAGTTGTCTCAGTAAACGCACAATAAATGATCGGCCATTCCTTTGACTGACCTCCGAAAATTGGCAGATCAGGCAGCTTGCGTGGCGTATGTACTATCCCATTAGGTGTCGGCCAGGCGTAGGGTTCACTTATAGTCATCGGCGTCATTCTTGATACCCACACCTTGAGGCTCGATTCCATGCGCTGTCTGCGCTGTGCTTGTTGCACAAAATGGGGTAAAGTGACTGCTACTTTCCAGAAGTACCGGGCCGCTCCAAGATGGCGGCGCCATTTGTGCCGCACTCTCACACCGACACCGTTAGCTGGGATCAGCGCTGACGTATCATTACCCACGCCGATTCCGCTCGCTGTTACGGAATCGCTGGAACTGGATGTGCTCCGGGCTCTGATATCACACAGCTCCTTCTCCAGCGCTGTGATTTTCTCCAAGATATCTAGCTCTAGGGACCTGTTCTGGCCTGGTATAACAACTCTAGCGGTAGTTACAGTACCCTGTTTCCTGAGCCACTACCTCAGGCTGTTGTTCGTGCCCTCCACAACGGCGACATGCCTCCTGTGGGTTCATTATGTGGGTCTGTGCATGTGGCTCTTGGCATTGAGTTACGTGTCATCTGTGTGGTGTTTGGTGGCCTCCATAAGGTGTTCATTGGCTGTCTTTGTTGTGTTACATTGGCCGGTGTCCACTGGCCAAAAGACGGTGTTTGGTTTACGGTGCTGTCTTCACATCTCCTGCATGTAGTTTGTGGTGGTGCTGCCGTTTTGTTTCGTGAAAACTTTTGCTCGTGAACGAACTCTTCTCGCTCTTTGTCCAGTTCTTCGTACTCGTCAGCCAGGATTATTAATGTGTCCAGATCATCCACCTCGTATGTTCTTAATGTTTGTGGACCACTCTACCTGTTCTAGGATTTCCAGTGGCTTCTATTTGCCATCGAATTTGAACGACCATTCTCTCACTTGCTTTGCGATTTTGGCGTCATCTGGTGTGCTAGGTCTTTGCTGCCCTGATTTTCCCTCTTGGCTTGTGTTTCGACTCCTGCCAGCTTCCTTCATGCTGTCCACTCCAAGACTTGATATGAGCTCCTCGGCGTCAGTATTCAGCAATTTGACGGTTGGGCCTGGCTTATTGTCGTACTTCTCTTCCAGGTCAGCCGAGATCTCTGCTACTCCTGGGTCATTCTGTTTCCTTGTTAGGTACTCTGAGAGGGCTTTCCTCATGTCATCCGCCCTACCCTCCAAAGTGATGCCTAACTTGGCTGCTATTTTTGCAAAATCCTCTTTCTTGAGGATTTATATCCATCCTTTCCCCATTTTTGTTTAGATGCTGATTCTCACCCACTGGCGATCACGTTTTGGGCGCCAGATGTAACGAACTGATTTTCACGGTCTGATCACTGATATCCTGGCTCCGTTGTCTGCGTGCTCTTGTGAGACTAGGTGCAGCGGGTCTTTGGCTCTCGGGAGTTGGTCAGTTGCCTGTCTAGGACTCTGGCGGTGAACTACTGTGCTCTCGACGCATACGCCTCTCGAGACACCCGTGGTTCAGTCGCGCGTCGTTCTTGGCTAGCCGCACCAGGGCCTCCACTATTTTCACCTGACGGTTCCGGCACGGCAGCTGGTTCTAGACAACATTCCTTCCGAGCCCACTGTTCTTTGTCGAAGGAAGGACTCTTTTTATTCAATTCTGCCGGACTCGCCGAGTAATACGCCAAGCTTAGATCGCGACGAGAATTGGAACAAAGCGCCTGGACTTAGCCGCGTGATGCCTTAAGGACCTCAGCTATCTGTTTCTCAGCTCGGAGACTTCAACTCTAAGTCCCGAACGTCTTGATGTAGCGATCTTGCTCCTTGTTGACTCGGCGCGGCTCTGCTTGCTCCTGATGTTGACTTGACTTGTGTAGTTCACTGATTTGCTGCTTGTCTACTGATCTTGATGGATTGACTCCTTGTGATCGACTGATCCAACTTCCTGCGCTCGGCCTGCTTATATAGGCCGGCTTATCCCGTTAATTCTCGGCTTCTCTTTTTTCGTATTTGCGCACGGCACTAAAGGGTCCAAATTCCGCCGTCTTCTACCGTTATTCCTTCTCTCCAAACCCTCTCTCTCCTCGTTCTCTCCAAACACTCTCCAGCTGTATTATTTAACTCCTCACAATACTAGATGTACTAAAATACTTTTAGGATCAACTATCGTCCCTCGACACTGATTTTCAAATTCAGCTACAGTTGTTAGAAAAGATATTTTGTAAAAAACTAAAAAAAAAAAAAAAAAAAAAAAGATTTTTTTTTCGAGAGCTTGCATTGTGATCATTGCAAATTTTATCAAAATAGAATGTATCATTGCGTTTTGATCATTGCTAAGTTCAACTATTTATTTCCCCCCCTGTCTGTACCGCTCTTCATTTCCTTACTTCAATGAACACCAAAATCACTGCAAAAATTTATCTTTCACTTCTAGCTTGCAACCCCTTTAACCAAACTTATCAAATCTTAAAAAAAACGTTAGAAATAGCTAAACAATTATGAGTTAAAGCCATAGAACTAAAAACTTCAAATATGAATCACGATTGAAAAAAAAATTTTTTTAAAACAATTTTACAACAAGTATGACTCTAAAAGATGGAATTACTTTCAATTATATTCCTGAGGTAAATAAAAAAAATGTGGTGCCATCTGGAGCGAATAAACATAACCACCTAATAGCTCTCCTCCCTTCATGTCTCTACAGATTCTGATCCTATATATGCCTTTTACCTGTTACATATTCTAGTGTTAAAATGGCTTCCAAAAGCGGTTGATTTCTACAACATTTTTTTAAGTTCTTTACAATTCATTACGATTGAATAGAGATAGAGGATATATTATTGGCTCCTTAAATTGTTTTTTTTAGACCGTTTACCTCACTCAAAGTGCCAACCTCCGCAGTTTTTACGCCACATGCTTTATTCCAATGTACATTACTTGTTTATTACACACTTATTAATACTTTATGAAAATTTTTAATTTTTTTCAGTAATTTAGGGAATGTTTATAAAGAACGTGGGCAACTGCAGGAAGCTTTAGACAACTATCGCAGAGCTGTACGCCTAAAGCCAGACTTTATTGATGGATATATCAACTTGGCTGCTGCATTAGTAGCTGCGCGTGATATGGAATCTGCTGTTCAAGCGTATATTACAGCATTGCAATATAATCCCGTAAGCTTTTTTATTTTACATCGATGATTTTAATTTTAAAGTATCTTTATGTAGGAGCTGTATTGCGTGCGCAGCGATCTGGGAAATTTACTTAAAGCCCTTGGTCGTTTGGAAGAAGCTAAAGTAAGTACAAACCCTGCCTCGAAAAAAAGACACTCATTACTTACATGGGCAGGCTGACCAAACAAAAAACCAGTTGCTTCGTGAATAATTGATAAATGGGAATAGATCACTGGATTGGCATTAGTGTGAAGGGTTGCAATTCTTCGCTGTGATTTCAAAAAACTACGCTTTTGCTTGCTTGGGAACACAGGCGGTTCAAATAAACTGTGTAATTATTCATTTTGGATATTGCTAGGAATAGGGCTTTTCATGTCCTGTAATGTTGTTATTTTACGAGAGCTGATTAAATCTGTTATACAAATAATACAATTTAATTTTTATGTTATATATGTAGGCCTGCTACCTGAAGGCAATTGAAACATGTCCTGGATTCGCTGTTGCATGGAGCAATTTAGGGTGCGTGTTTAATGCCCAGGGAGAGATTTGGTTGGCTATTCACCACTTTGAAAAAGCTGTTACTCTTGATCCAAACTTTTTGGACGCATATATAAATTTGGGAAATGTTCTTAAGGAGGCAAGAATATTTGACAGGTAAGAACATTTACTAAATGTGTTATTGTTTGACTGTATAAAGTGAAATTCATCATTAAAAGTACTTTTTATTTTTAAAGGATACTATTCTAAGTTTGAAAACTCTAAAGCCTAAAATAACTAAGCGCTTAACGTTGACTTGCGGTATATGCAAAGAACTAATCAAAATACTTTGATGATAGTCGGCATTTTCAATTCAAGCTTCCTAGAAACCATTTTTCTTAACGATGAATTTTTCTTCTCGTGAAATGATTCTTGGTGCCCTAGAGACCGGCCCCTAAGCAAACCTTTGTCCTTCTTAATAGTTTTCATCGATTGAATACTTGTTCCATAAGTAAAAAATAAATATTATATACAAATTGGTATTTAATTATCTTAATTTTTATTAATCATCTAAAACTTAATTTTCTTAGTTACTGATCAGAAGAAAACTTTTAACACCTTATAATTTCCCAAGAAAATATTTCGCTAGGCGTGGCTTTCAATTTGGATACTTTCTAGGAATGATAATGGAATTGACACAACATTGTTAGGCTTTGGAGCTATTTCATCTCAGACTATTTGACTTAACGTTAGTGCAAGCGAGACACACATTTGACAAATCTAATGAGCAATGAATAGATAAAAATGGAAAGCCCGATTTCGGTATTTAAACATAATTCGATAATGCACAACCGGGACCGATACGTTTAAGCCTAGTACTCAGATCGGAAATCGAGTTCGCCAGAAAAACGTTAATCTTTCCAGTGTGACAGCATTTTGAAAAGTTCATCAGCATTTTGAAAAGTTCATCAGTAGTGATGAACGTCCTACGGTCGTACTGTCAATCAGCGTTGTTTTCAAAGCTCAAACAACAGACACTCCAAAAGATAAAAATTTTTAATCTTTTCGCTTGGTCCTGAAGAACGTTCACCCAAAGTTCATTTCTTCAGACTGGAAACGCTATGAAATTTTCTGGTATTTTTTCGTAAATCTGAGTACTGGTAAAAAAAGGTCTGACGAAAAGTGTTCGCCAGCTGTTTGCCTCTCGCTCTCTCTCATAGCTGACGAACTGTTTTCGTCGATCTGGGTATTAGGCTTAAGGAGACAAATTGTATCTTAAAAGTAGTTTTCAGTAGAGATTGATACTAAAATAAACAAGTGAGAACGCTATAGTCGAGTGCCTCGACTATTAGATACCCGTTACTCAGCTAAAAAAGTTCAAATTATCAATTTGAATTCGGCGATCTCTTAGAGCTGGCAGCTTTACAGCACGAGCATCAGCACCAGCGCTGCTTTAGCGCAGGCAGCTTTTGTCCTGCACCAGCAGCTGTGTTTATGTTTATGTTTTTGAGTGCAATAAATTGACTAGAAATATTAAACATTCATACTTATATTGGCTAAACACATAAATTCTTAAATAGTATTATGTGTATTAAAGTCTAAATGTTTGCACAACACGAGTAACGGGTATAGCGAATAGCTTTCTTTGAAAGGAGTTATCTTTGCCGGGCAATTGCAACTGTCTACAATGTAAATACATACATATGTATATGCCATTGTTTGACTCAGACCTCCAATTTGGCTAACTAGATTTGATTTGCATGGTTCTTGGGATATAGTTCGGTATTGACAAATGAAAACCATCGCATTTTCCCTTAATAGAAATCCTTATCGAGAATTAACGTTGACTCTGTTGAGCACCTTGGCCAGCTGTTCCAAAGTCATCCGTTAAATGGCGCTACCACGGGTTATGAAAGTCGGAAATGTAGGCGCTAGCCAAGCTTAAGCGTTTAATGGGTTTTTGGGCGTTAGAGTGGGCGTGGCAAACTTTTATTAGGCCAGTCGATAGGTATTGACGAAACAAATACATATCAATTAAAATTTTCATAATAGCATCAAAACAGTGGCCACAGCTTGTGGCTTGTGGGCGTCGGAGGGGGCGTGGCACCATTTTGAAACAAACTTGCGCTGCGTAGGAACTCCTAAAATCTACATGCAAAATGCCAATCTTCTAGCTTTTATAGTTTCCGAGATCTCAGCGTTTATACGGACAGACAGACAGATGGACAGACAGATGGACAGACAGACGGACATGGCTAGATCGACTTGGCTAGTGATCCTGAACAAGAATATATATACTCTATAGGGTCGGAAACGCTTCCTTCTACCTGTTACATACTTTTGCACGAATACAATATACCCTTTTACTCTACGAGTAACGAGTATAAAAATAAAACACTGCTGATTCGGAAGCAGAAAAGCATCGGTGCGAAGGTTTTAGCGAAGTCTGGAATCTTTGTGGTGAACTCAAAAGAGATGTCGAAAACACTTTTTGTCAAAAAAATCAACTTTGGGATAATGTCCAAAAAGCAGGATACAACATCCCAATTGGAACGTGTCGTAAGTTAATGTCCTCCATGCCAAGACGAATAGAGAAAGTCTTGCAAAATAACGACGGATATACCTGTTATTAGCTGCCAGATACTTAGTTTAATATAATTATTAATTAATTATTATAAAAAGACCATAGTGAAATATTAATTTAATTTAAACATTTATCTTTGTACACCTATTATTGTCTCCAGCCAAAATTGGCAGATTTAAGAAAATATTTAATTAAGTGTTATATTAAAGGATTTGTGAATCTGCTTTTACTTTTTTTTATAAGCCAATTAATAGAAGTATTGAAAAAACATTGATTTGTTGAGATTAGAGAAGATATGAATTAGAAACAGAAAGTTAAAAAAGAAAACAAAAACACACCTATTATTTTGTCCATGAGTGTATATGCCAAACATTTTACTGCTACCACTGATTTAAATTTGTAAACCAAAATTAAATGTATGCTGAAATATTAAAAAATATATATATTATAACATATAATATTCTAATTTTTATCATTAAGCCATTAGTAAATAGTATGAAAAGTAGCAAAAGACAAAATATTCTTGCTGCATCGAAATGAAATGATCGCACACATGCACCCTTGTATGAGAATGCATAAACACGTATGTTATACATATGGATCAATACTTCAGATGTTTCTTTGCAAAAATACTTATAAGATTGCAATCGGTTATTAAGGCTAAGCACATTAACTTATGTACTTTCAAATGCCCCTACTTATACAAAAGTCTTTAAAATATTTCTCAGTATTTAATGGGAGCTAAAATTGCGTTCAGATATGGTTTAAATATTTAAACAACGAAGAGAGCGGACGTGCTTTGCGGGAGCTCCGGGAAAAGCTGAAGAAAGCGGATGTATTAAAGCAAAAATTAAATTTAAAAAAAAACTAAATTGGTGTACTACAAAATAAGCGAAAAGACGCTAAAACAAAATAAAACCAAAAACAAGAAAGGAAAGCTAACTTCGGGAGGAGCCGAAGTTGATATACCCTTGCAGAATACTCTGTAAATTATATTCTCCAAAATTATTCATATGATGCATTCTTAATACTCATAAAAAATCCCAACTTCCTAACTTTAAAAACACCAAAGTTATGACATTTCCAATCGTTCAGTTATATGGGAGCTATAGGATATATTCGGCCGATCCTTATGAAGTTTGGTAGGTCGGATTGACCTACTTGAATCCCAACTTCCTAACTTTACAAACACCAAAGTTATGGCATTTCCGATTAATCAGTTATATGGCAGCTATAGGATATATTCGGCCGATCCTTATGAAGTTTAGTAGGTCGGATTGATTGGCCAAAAATAAAACCGATAGAAAATCCCAACTTCCTAACTTTACAAACACCAAAGTTATGGCATTTCCGATTAATCAGTTATATGGCAGCTATTGGATATATTCGGCCGATCCTTATGAAGTTTAGTAGGTCGGATTGATTGGCCAAAAATAAAACCCATAGAAAATCCCAACTTCCTAACTTTACAAACACCAAAGTTATGGCATTTCCGATCAATCAGTTATATGGCAGCTATAGGATATAGTCGGCCGATCCCGGCCGTTCCGACATATATACTGCGTGCAAAGGAAAGAAGGGTGTGTGCAAAGTTTCAATTCGATATCTTTAAAACTGAGAGACTAGTTCGCGTAGAAACAGATAGACGGACAGACAGACGGACAGACAGACGGACAGACAGACGGACATGGCTATATCAACTCAGGAGGTGATCCTGATCAAGAATATATATACTTTATAGGGTCGGAGATGTCTCCTTCACTGCGTTGCACACTTTTGACCAAAATTATAATACCCTCTGCATGGGTATTATGAGTGATATGATTAAATCAAGGGCAAATTATTTTATAATAGTGCCACGCTTAAAGTGTAATGACCGACGAACCAAATAAAGAGCGCTTAACCTCGGGGTGCCGAAGAGACAGATACTTCTCGTATATCTCTACGCGTGATAGCGAAGTGCAAAAAACGTCTACAAAGACCCACCCGGAAATCCGAACCTATATCCTTACCAACATTGCTTCAGACAAAAGAGATCGCGGAAGTCATCGGGGATCTGAAACCGAAAAAGGTTCCGGGCTGTGACCTAATAACACCAAAAATGAATAACGTATTTTGGCGTCCACCTCGACAAACGACTAACCAGGAGAAGACACATCGAATTCAAGAAACTACATCTAAAACTAAAAGACAGCAGCTTCCACTGGATTATAAACATTCGATCGCCCTTGTGTCTGGACTACAAGGTCCTGTTCTACAACTCTACTCTCAAGCCTATCTGGACATATGGCTCCCAGCTATGGGGGAACGCGAGCAGCAGCAACATTGACATCATATAGCGCGCACAATCGAAAATCCTGAGGATTATCACTGGGGCACTGTGGTATATTCGCAACCAAAACATCCACAGAGACCTCGGCATTCCTGCAGTAAAAGATGAAATTGACAAACAAAAGACGACCTACAAACAAAAATTCTCCGTGCACCCAAATCATCTCGCAAGAGGCTTGTATCGGGTTTCCAGAAAAACCCGCCTTCAACGCAACGGCCCGCCTTCAGGGCCACATTAAGTACCAGTCTTATGACTGTTAGT